TCTCAGCTTACAACTATTTTATTAATTGAAATAAAGGTTATCAGAATTATTATATCTAAGCCAACAAGTTACAAGTCTCCTTTTCCCACCAGGATGAAGTTCTGAAAACCTAGAGCCCTTGCGACCTTTCTTTCTAACTTCATTAGGGCAAAGATTATATTTCGAACTCAAGAGAAAAGTATGAAGAAGGTCTTCATCTATTACAAAGTATTTATACATACGTATATATATATTCTATCAGGAGAACCCTCTTCCATGCGAAAATGAGCGATGCCGCACTCTTCTTATTTCATGTGTAATCTTTCCCATTAGATTATTGTTCATGCCAGCTAATAACGTTTCACATGCTTTCTTCTGCAAGATTTTTCTCATAAAGCGGTAAATATTAAGTTGTAGTAAATAGTTAACAGCGTCGCGCGATGAAGACTGATCCTCCAACACCCCTCATAATAGCCATAACTGGCTCGAATTAACCACTTTTGCACTCACAGTCAGCCTTCAGCGGGAATTGGGCCTGTGTAAAATCGGATGCGCATGACTCCTATGCAACATAGAGCGTGATTTCTTCAACGGTTACGATAGTGGTGGTGATAGTATACATTTCTACTCCGTAGTTGCGAAGAAACACACGGTCGCCCCGCTACGCCACTATTGATTCTGCACCCAAACTTCGAATCGTTGGGTCGCGTTTTATTCAAAGGATATGAAGAGCCCCTAAAACTGTTTCGTTCCCTACAATTAGAATTATTTTGTGTGAAGTTTTATAGTGAGTTTCACTGGAAACTAATATGTATGTGCAAGTGTCTTAAGTCAGTCGATCACAGCACTCTATTGCTCGGATCGTGCTCCAATTTTGGCGCGAATTGCCTTTTTCTGGGCTTAATTTCGGCGACTTTTGAGTGACAGCCGGACATCGGCTATGAATGACAGGGCCGTGCGCATACAGACAAGAGAGCCGACTGCGTCGGAGAGAGAAAAGATCGGTGGAAGCGAAACGAATTGGATAGCAGACCAGAGACACGTAGAGTACGGTAGCCTCGAATCTGAAGCTTTTTCGAAGACGAGCTAGGAGCCTTGTCATTGGACAATTAAAGTTTTTACAGGAAAGGAATGAAGCCCAATATTCTTTGGGCAGTAAATAAATTCGGACATATCCATATTGCCATTCTCTCTATTGTTTTTCATCAAGGAGTCACCTTTAAAATCACAACTAAACCCAGATTTCAATCACAGCTCCAATTTTCTAGAAGTGTGCCAAATGTTTCCGAATAGACTGAACATGAGAATCGTTTCTGTATGAAGCTAATTGCTTGAAAAGTCCTTATTTCAACTCAACAAAAAGCCCTCGACGAAGTACTCCACTCCGTGGAATGTAAAAAGCACACTAGACGTAGGAGATATAAGTGAAGACAAGTTTGTAGTCACATTTTCACCAAATCGTCTTCAAAATCACCGCAGGGAGGACTTCGCATCATAATTCACGGCAAGATTGGGCATATTACACCGCCCATGTGCGGTCGCTCTTCCAGTCGAAGGATTCGCTGCTTCACAGGAATCATTGTTGTCCTGGAAGAATCTGAGTCGAACGACAGCAAATTTCTGTGGCAGCACTCGTTTGCCTAGCTCTGCCATTTTCAGTAATTACAGCCGTGTATTCAATGTATCAAAGTAAATAAATAAATAAATCAATCAAAGAGTTTTAAATTACCTCCGAATTCACATACGAGTTTCACACCCTCTGTGGAAGAAAATTATAAAAGAATAAAAGTAAGCAGAGGTAGCATCCGCATGACATGTGGAGAACGTTCATCTAAGTAACCAGGTAGTCCACGATACCATATTCATATGCCCGCTCTTCTCTCCAGTGATTTAACTCTATATCGTGGTGAAAGGACACCGTAGGTGTCGGCCGGCTGCGTAGGATATTGGTTTCATTTTACAGTAGCGTCTTCCGAGCTGAAAATGATTTGCACCTCTCCATGAGGAAGTCTAAGTTAATAGTGAATGATTTCCAGGACTCATTAGCACCTTGGCAGGAGAATAGCTGGCGAGTACTGACGACATTGGAAAAAACTCAGGTGGATTTCAAGATTTCGAGGAGAAAGAAAAAAACAAAACGTCAGTGGTGTGTAGGGACCAATGAAGGGATGTCAGATTCATCAAAGAACTGCAAAATTCAATGTGCATCATTTTTCATTGTAACCACATTTATGGTATTTCTTCTCGTGGTCTCTTCTCTTTCTTCCCCTTCTTCGAATTTGCATTCTTCACCTTTAAGTGTGGTCAACGAGTTATTGTCTTCATCGTTTCAATTTTATTTATGTTCTCTGTGGAAGGTGTTCTCCAACTTTTTAAGCATTTCTGTTCATGTTGTAGAACTGTCTCAATCATAAGCAACGTCCATTGCTTGCTCAGCAAATCAAAACTGCATTTATTGATTTTGGAGCTACATTATGGGACAAAGTAGAACTAATATTGAACTGGACAAATAGTGGTTTCAGAAATCTCACATAGTTCCTTTTTTACAGTGCCTTACCATGAAAAAGCGCAAGACATGGAATGTAAAGGCGGTTTGAACAACTGGGAAGATTATGTATGCCAAAAATTTAAATGATCTCTCTTCTATACTTCAAAGCAATTTAAATGAAAATCTTAGAAATTTCGGATCAATCTTAAAAATTTCGGACTGGACAAGAACTGGATGTAGATCAACCCGTCAATCGTGCTCTTTTATTTTTTTTTGTAATATGTAGAGCAGCATTAACTTTACCCTCTATCCGAGAGAGTATTTCCCTGAGAATCAAGTGAGTTTGCGAAGATCTCGTCCTTCGTAGTCGTTCGCATTCCGCTTAGTTATTTAAAAAAAAGAGCCTTACAGTAACGCGGTGACACCCACCGCTTCTAATTCGAGGTTCTTTTTTGAGCTACTCTAATATTACAGTTCAATCTGCTCATATTTCTTTCAATACCTAGTCTTTCTGCTTATTCTGTAACCAATTTTGTTTAGTACTTTCGAGTAGGCGCTAAATATGTCTCTCATTGGCCCACTGTTTCCATGAAGACGCTAAGTCTCTGCGTACTTTAAAAAACTTGTTAGCTTTTCCTATAAGAAAAAAATGCTATAGTTCTGTTTTTATTGCGTCGAACATATATATATATATAATCTTTACGATTTCCATCAAAGTACAAGAATATTCAATTCAAGAAGAAAAATTAACACTTATACGCCAACGAATGACAGCGTACAGATGAAGGGCTAGGAGACGAGCGTCTTTTGGAACTACTTACGGATCGGCTCCTAGCCCCAATTGCGGCGTGCGGCGACACGAAGACGCGTAGAATTCGAGAGCAAACGAAATCCACTGAAGCTATGATAAAGTAGATACAAATGAACCACTCAATGTAAAAGACAAACAAAATGACCCTGTATGTCAAAAAATGTTGGTGAGACGGTGTGTAGAACCTAAAACAATGAACCTAAGAACAATCGAACAACTATATCAATCAATACACACATAAAACTAGAATATGTCATGAAGATTAAGTCGTGGACGGCATTTAAATGATCGATTAGATTACTGATGTTCTCAGATCGACGAAAACTGAGCAGTTGCGTTGATAGTGTAATGTTCATTAGCATGCTTACGCTATATATATATATATATATATATATATATATATATATATATAAGCAAGTTTAAAACGAGAAATGAGGAAAGCAGAAAACGAAGATGAGAAAAAGAAAGACGTTACTAAACTATATAATGTGACGCAACCATGCCATTAACGCTCTGATTTGAAATCTAAGACAGCTTACAACATCAATGACCTAGGCGGATGTGATAGCAGACCCTTCTAAGCAGTTCAGTTACCGTGTTTTAGCCCTCCATGCCGTGCGTAGACGACAATATGCTTGGATCCATCCATGGTGCAGCGCCTGCTGGCGGGAAACCCATCATACTCATTTGAGGCATGAACGGATTCGCCATTGCTCTGAAATGTGACGAATCAAAGAACGAGTTGCAAGTGTTTCACTTAGATGCACGTGGCAGTTTGATTTGTTATCCGATACGTGCATTGCAAAGTAGTCTTGTGTGATTAAGGCTTGACGGGCACAGGGCACAAGATTGAACCAAGGACCACGTGTGGATTGCAGGGCAACTCTAACCACTACACCATACGCGACCCCAATAAAGCGGTCACATTTTTTTGGGTCACTGAACAGGTGAGAGCTTTAAAGGAACTTGAAATAAAGCTCCAACATCTAACCACTTAAGCACACTGTTGTAGGCGAATCCCTTTTGGTCAACAATTCATGAAAGTCATGCACAGTGATTTTATCTAGAATCTACACTATCATTGTTTTGATTGTGATTTTGCTAATATTCCTCTTTTTATGTGTGGAATTGCTCCATAAATTCTTATGAACTTGATAGCGAATTATGCACACTGCTTTGCTCCTTTCAAACAACTTAATGCGCTCGGTCGATGTCATAAACAACGACTTCCACATAAGTAACTAAGAAGTAAATAAAGCAAAGTAAACAAATAATGTCTTTCAAGCTAGTTAGCGGTGTTGAACAATTTCCTAAAGACCTGTTATACTCGTCGTGTTCAATTAATAAACACGTAAATGCAGTCGTTTTCTGATGATACCATGAAAGAATTGCTAGGACCAGTAGAACTCGACGTTTTGAATTTTGAGGAGTCTTTGAAAGTGGAACTTTGATTAGAGAAAAAGAGAAGTTAATGTTTTGAGGACTTGAGGGAATATTTGTCCAGAAAATGCAAACGGTGAAATATCGTCAAAATCCGCGCTGATTTCAATGCGTGCGGCACAAATACATTGACCACTTTCAAACCTAAACGAATGTATGTTAGCTTCTATTAAAATTTACCAATTTAAATAAAAAGCTTTAAAATCTACAGATAATTGTCTGAGAGATGCCCACTCTGCTATTTTACAATGATTCAATACTGATTTATAATGAAAAACAAACTTACGGGTTCGGAAAGGCGCTGTATGGTGCCGCAGGGAACATAGTCCGCTGCATGTTGTAAATGTCGGCTCCAGGATACGCCATCGGCATCGTGACGGCGGCAGCCGCGTCCGGGGAGTAGCCAGCGCCGAGATCTTCAAAACACATGCGTTGCGAGACTTGTGAACATCCGGTATCCTATTGCTTTCAGCAGACTTCGTTTAGAAACGGTAATTTTCCCACCTCAGAAACTAGGCTTCGCTTAGTTACTCTTGACAACTTATAAAGACATCGTAACAAAACAAAATTAGCTATCCGAAGCCAAGCTCTTAACGAAATTTATAAAGTAAAACTATCACGGCATTAGTTCCGAGATCACGTTTTGAAACGTGAAAGTTCGAAATGCCGACAATAACAAACAGAATTAAACCGGTGTATTCTTTCTGAAACTCTCAACTTCTAGTTGGTTTCGGGGAGAACTCAAATAACAAATAGAACTATTGGAATTTTAATTTGTATTGTGGAGTTTCTACGACGCTAAATAATCCCGAAATAGCTTCCATTAAGAGCAAACCTTGCTCCTTAGCCTATTTCAAGTATTGCAAATACTTCACTCCGTTCATAACATTTACGTGAGACAAGCTTTTAGAAATAAAATAGTCAGATGTTTAGTTCCTGTAAAAAATTGGTATCGGATGGAGCAGAAGGTAACCGACGTAGGGAAGAGGATTTCAGACAAGACAAGTGGTGGTGATCTCTAGCATTGAATACAAATTAACGACGATCATTGTCTTCTAGCTGAATACCGAATTCGATACCTGGGCTGGGTCCAGGGCTCTGGTCGCTCCTGTTCCTCCTTCGGTTCTTGAATACGCTCACGGCTGGAGCTCGGCCGGCCCGATTACTTTGATCTATCATCGGTTGTACGATGCGACGTCGTGCGTTGATGAACCTATAATTGAATTCTATGAAGATTGAATGCATTCCATTAGAAATGGAAATGATGGTAATCTAGTAGAAAACTGTACATTTATCAACGTATGTTGTGTTCTATTGCGTGAACCACTGCAGACTTTCGAAGAATTGAAATAAAAGCATTTTTACTAAGCCCAGTATTTTACTTTGGTTTCAGGACTCAGTCAATCTACAAGACATATTAAATATTTTGGATTTTTTGCGCAATAAAATAACATCTAAGAATTTCTGGAGGACGTGCGTTTACGCTGCCGTACATGAGATTAAGTCGTTCACTGTTCATTCCACGTTCAAAATCAATCCACAAGGAACTCGCTGTGGAGTGCTGTCGTTGAATTTTAGCTGACTGTTGGCTTCGTCTCCGATCGTTGTCTGATTTCTGGTCTCGTCGGGCGATAAAATCTTCTCTCAACCAACGCCCAATAACTCCAGCACTCCTCTCCCACTAACTCACTTCATAAATCGAGCATAAATTCTTTTTATGACAGTTCACCCACATCGCGGAAACCGTAAAGTGTTGCGATATCAGCGTCGTACGCAACAACTTGGCGTCGTAAGCGTCGTAAATATTTTTTATGAGTTCTTTATGGCGATGAGGTTAGCAACGGAATGGTGTAATATTGTAAAAGCTTCTTCTTCGAAGACGTAATATTCTAGAGCTATAAGGCAGAAATCTTTAGAATACGATGATGTGTTATTTTTCTAATGATTTATTAGCTGCAATCTAAGCCAAATGTAAGACAAGATAATCAACGCAACTACGTTCAAGTCAATACATGTGTAATGTAGCACAGTGGGTAGAACTGTGTTTCGTTAGATATGGGCACGTGTGGCGCAGTGGTCGGAGGCGCTCTGTAACACACACGTGGAATCAGATCCCCACGTCCATAGTCCACCAAGCCTTCCATCCCTCCGCAGTAGGCAAATTGGTACCAGACTTATCTGGTGGGATAGCAACACTGGCTCGATACATCGGTAGGCCACTGCGAGTCATTGTAAAGGCCAAATATGCATTCAATCACCTCCAAACGATGCTTAATGAAGTCGAATGCACGGCGCATCCCTTCAGGATTGATCAGCACCAAGAGCTTTATCCTTTATCCTTTATTACAGTATATAAATCAGTACGAAGCTGTGAGTTGAGGAATGGCTTCTACAAAATGCAAAACAGCAAAATTAAACGAAATAAAGTGGAAAGCCCTAAGTTGAATGCAAAAAGTGTTGGAAGAGACTCCACGATACAAATCACGTTCTCATCCATTTTGCTGGCACATGGAACCACTCACTATGACCACGTGAAACGACTTTACAACCATAGAGTGTATGAAACTGTTTTTTGAAGATTTTGCGAACATTTCTACATCATGTGACGAGCAGAGGGGTCGATATATCGTAACAACAGGGAATAAATCTATTCTGTCACAAGTGCTAGTGGGTCTGACAAGCGATTCTTCGTACGTAGAAAGTAGCAACGCGTGTTTATCATTTCAAGGCGTTGATTGGACCCAGATGACTGACCAACAGTGACAACGACCTCAATCATGCCGTCAAGTGGTGACGACGTGATCACCCCTTTTATCATTTAATGTAGCAATAGTGCTCAGTTGCAGTCGAGCGAAGACGAGCGCGTTGTCGGAAAACTTCGGCAACCATCAATCACTCCGCATCACGTCGCCTGCGATCGATGTGGCTAGCAGCTCACTGTCGTCATATGTCGCATGCTATGAGACCGTGACACAAACTACTACATAACTACAGGTTCCGCTCTATACCACGGTGAATATCCCCACTTTTGCCGAGCCGAGGGCTGTCGTTCGCCTCATATCTTCTAGTGCCTGCCCTCTCTACGCCTCTCTCCGTGTTGTCAGCGCGGCCAGCTGCCATCATCCATCACTGCCAAGGCTGGCGGTGTCCCTGTCGTCTCCAGGCTCCTCCGTTGGCACATTTCCTCCCCATTCTCAGTCTCTGGGTCCTCCAACAGCAACGGGCTACCTTGTCGTCAAGGCCCGCGGTTACGGTAATCGGCGAGGGAACGCACGGGCGCCGCGGACGGACACTGTTGGCTGCGATTTCTGCGTCAGATTTGCACAATATCGTATTTCGTAGTATTAACATTATCACAATCGGTCTGTTAATCCCTAATGGCTTTATAAAAAGAAGAGCGACACTACGCCGGTAAATGAGTTATGTAGAAACGCTGTGAGGAAGGCAACTCAGTAAGAACCTCACTCTTATCTTTGGTTCCTTTCCTCAGTTAGGACTTTTCGAATTCTCAATCATATCGTGCTTTTTTATAAAGCATATATAGGCAGATTTTGCAGTTTCTTTAATATATCTCACCGGCTATGAAAACCAGTCTACTTACTCTGTACGAAAGAATAAACATACAAAACCAAGAAATACCATAAAAGACCTCTAAAGGCTCTGCTGTAACTATTTTATTTAAACCGATAAGGACGATTTGACTCTTATGTCCCTGCTTTGTTGATGCGTTGAAAAATCAGTACACATAATTAGAGCTGAGTTAGATACTAGCATCGTGTCGTTATTGACTCATGTAAGGCTTAGACCACGATCCTAAGATTTTCAGCTGTTGCATTTAACCAAACGTAGAAGTTCATAAGGAGAACCTCTCGACAACAGCGATGCGTGCGCGCTTAGCAGGCGACGGACGATTCAAACACAGCGCGTTGCGTGGCCGCGATGAGCGGCTGCTGTGCAGCAAAAAAGGAGAGAGGCACTTGATTGATCACCTCCGTTATCAATTCGATCGGGGAAAGGGAGAGGTGTCAGGCCGAAACACCGTCGACCACCGTCGGCCCGCTTCTCAGCGGTGCCGCGTCCGAAATTGACGTTTTCGAAATGAACACGATCCCATACGGGGTCAACAAGGAATGAAAAGATGCGTGGCAATCGCGGCAGGACCCAGACCGCATCGCACCACGCGCCGGCTGGCTATGAGCGGAGAAATGATTGTACGCGAAACGACATCGTGTACAGAGCAAAACAAGGCGAATGGCAATTTGGGAGAGAAAATTTAAAAGAGGAGAATAGGAAGTGGAGCGCTAAGTGACTATTTACAGCCTCTTTTCGCTCACGTGTTCCAGCAATTACTGACTGGTGTGTATTTACAAAGTCGGCGGTTGCTGTGGCGGCTAGGCACAAGCACTACTCATTGTAAATTCATTGCATCCTCGTTCAAATATATTACTCAACACTAATTGAATAGTAGAGTGAAACACCGTGTCACTAAATACCAGTTCAATTCTTCAAAAAAAGAAACTGCTGATAGACTGCGTTTCGCTGACGAACGGCTTGTAGTCTTCCAAGAAACACTGCTTCTCATTCCCTAAGCTTTCAATCAATATTGCGTAAAAGCAAAAAAAAGCAGTGTGAAGATTTCAGCTCACAATATCAGATCCAAGAGATATCTTCACTCTTTTGTTTGTGCAAAACACATTAGAAGTTTCCTAGAAAAATAAAAGTCTGTTCCAGGAATCCTGTTAGCCCAACATATCAAAACACTATGTTGAAACTAGGGAATTATCAGTGCAATCTTTCAGATGATCGTATTCGTCTAAACGGTCCCCGAGACGTAAACGTTGGACAGCCAGCCATTCTTTTGGGATGTGCGCATGTGAAGCGAACAAAGGTAGTTTGACTATACTGTAATTAACCTCCGCCATTGATGGGTAGATGGCAGACGAAATCGAGCAGAAGAAGAACCGGGTAATGTTTCGGACAAGAAAAACAGGCTACTCAGCTCACTAACCGCCGCTAGCATCACCATACTTATTGCCGAATTGCTTTCGCTGTGCTTTCAACGGTCAGACTGACGTCATTGGTCCCTTTTAAAGTGTCCCCATCAACCGTCCATGTTCCTAACGCGTAAGCGATGATTTTACGGTAATTATTCACTTTAGCGCGTTATATTCGTGTTAGGTCATGCCTGAATAATTGTGAGATCATCGCCCATTATCGTGGCCAGTATCGCGCCATACGGTCCGACTTTTCAATGTGCTGCGGTTCACATTTCAGCACCACGCTTGCATAATCGCTACCTCCACCTCCGAACGGTCGGAGATTGCTAGTATCCACTCAACACCAAAGCCAAGTCGTCTACTACAAACACAATCCCTGACGGAGTCCAGAACAAACAGATACGATATAACAAAAAAAACTCTAGAATAAATAAGGATTTTCCTATACAGAACAAATCTGGAGTCTTCAGTAGGCATTTGATTGATTTTATATAGTAAGTCTTTACTGCATGACTAAAACCATAAATTGAGGTTCTGAGAGTTAGTGCTAAGTGATACAAAATTTTTAAAGGTGAGCAAGTCTTCCGACAGAGCAATAATTAAGGCATTGACATGTTGCATATAAATATAGGAGAAATGTGGTAATACGAAAGAAAGGTGAACTCACCAGTTATTAACCTGTAGTATAGTGAGACCCGTGTCGTTAGCGAGCTGCTTTTTCTGCTCCTCTGACGGATATGGATGCTAAAAATTTTAAACAGTAGTGACGATGAAGAGAAAACCAATGACGAACGTTCAGTCATGGTAGAGCGATACAATAATTCTTAAGCTCGTCGTTCATAAGAATTGAAAATGTCATCATTTGCAAAGCGACTGCAAGTTTAGCAAAAATCTGCGATTGAGTACAGTCACGCTTTTTTTTGATTCTCGGAAAATCACCGCTAAGCGTTGTGCAAATCGTCTACGACCCATAGCTTACGATTGACTTTAGACACTAGTGTTGTATGGTGCACTTTTCCGATTATGTGATGTTCCAGCGTGTGGTCATTTTATTTTGAAGAAAAAGGAAACAGAGGAGAAATGCACAACAGAGTCATGTTTTACGTGCAATAGTTAAAGATGCTGTTTTGGAAGTTAGTATTTGATACATTGAATTAGATAGAAACAAGCATCTTCGTTTGACACGACGCATACTTTTGTTGCTTATAGCGAGCAAGATTGGCTGATAAAGTTTAGTTCGATTAGCGCGAAAGCAAAGAAAGCGCAAAATTTAGCAGATGGCCATCTAAGATCGTTGTCGATCAGGGAATTAGCACTGAGGATGTCCCATCACTTCCTTGCAATAAGTCGGACAAAGTGCGCTAAATAGTTGATCTTAGAGTGTAAGGTTCCGAATCCGAGTAACATATTTCAGAATGCGAAGCTGTCTCGTGTCGGGAATTTGTCGCTAAAGGCGGTTACTGTAGGTTTTCTAAAACTCGCCACTGTATTGAACCCATTGGCTCAATGACGCTGTTAACTAATATCCGGTATCGAAAGAATGAGGAGTGATTTTAGTTTATCTATATTCTTTTCGATATCAAAACTTCGAAAACTGCACATCGATAAATCGGTTCTAACAAATTGCGCATACAACAATTTTATACTACCGTATCTTTGTTCGCATAGTCTCCTGGAAATCTACACATGCCAATTTCCTGTCTCGCGTGCAGTTATTAGCGAATCGTCACGTAACGACTTCCCGGCGACACAAAAACGCAATTACAGTAATCCGCGAGAATAAACGAATATTAACTCTTATAGAAAGAAATATCAATCGGAGCTGTAGTTAGAGTATACAATATCGCAAGCAGACGATATAATACCATTAAATAAAAAAGTTTCTAGTGTTTCGGTATCTTATTAGCACTATGAGTCCGACAATGTAGAGCATAGAGCTAGCAAATAGCCCTGAAGAGAGTAGATGAACTGGCTTAGTATGGATCCAGTACTAAAAGCACAAATGAAACCAGTTAATAATCAACCGTACCGTGAGATTTTGGAATAGCCACGCGCGAAATTTGGTGATTGCCTCTTTCGAGAACACCTTCGGCACTTTACGTTTGTGTCCGTTTATAGATCCGTTCTGACCGTCGCTCAGTACACTTTCGCGACCATCCTCATTAGAACCGCACAGCGATAACAGTTCATCGCCTGCAAACTCGCCATCGGATTAGGAAACGCTCCCGACAAGATGGTCCCGCACTGATTCGCTTGCTTCGCATGAGCGTTTTTGTACTTTACTCAAATTCACCTTCTATACTAATATGGAAAAAAATTGATAAGGATGAGTGACAATGTAAAAACCGCAAAATGTCGTGAGTACACGACGCTACGCGTGTGAGCGCGTAGAGCCAAACGTCTGACTGAAATTTCAGCCAACCGTCTATTATTATTTTAACAGAAAAAGTGCACACACAAAGAAAACGCATGTGAGACATGTGTCAATCGCAGCCAAGTGTCGCGACCACGACAACGACGACGATGAAAAAGAACTCGGTAGAGACAAAAGCGTGAGTAAAAGCTGTTAGATGATACAATTACCGTCAAATGTTGAAAAAGCCACGCTCGAAGGATGTTTGTTGCCGGCTTCGGAAATATTCCGCGCTTCTTCGCTTGTGCTTGAGATGTCTTGCTTGGTCGGAGCGGTGTGTCGCGACCGGCTTGTGGCGGATCGGAGGGGTGTTGTGGGTAGACCGCAGCTTGCTGAGAGTACTCGTACATATCGTACAGTGGATGCTGTTCTGAGGTACCGGCGTAGCCAGTGCAGTTCACAAGCAGTCCAGGATGCAGAAGGCACTCATCCATTAGATCGCTACCGCCGCTACTGCCTGCCGTAGACATATAAAGCTCTGAAAGCTGTCGACGGACAACATTGAAAGCTCATTAGGCAAACGCATTCGAGCGCGAAATCAGTGATATTCACGAAGCACTCATAAATGTTATTCTTAGCATGAACCGCCTATTCGGAGACATCTGGCCTCCTTGTTTAGGTGGCGCCAACTGTAACATGCTCATAGCTGGTCAGGATGTTTGAGGAATTCGGTTGAACAAGGTTATAAAGTCGACGTTATCATTTGAACGCATGCACACTTTTGACAATACAAAAACGACTCGGACAGGACACCTGGAAAGCATTCATGGACACCTAGTATGGAAGAGCACTGTTTTTACCGCCGTTGTATCACAGAAATACTATCCAATCATTCTGAAGAGATAAATAAGAACTACGCTACAACCCACTTTTAACATAAACGATAGAAAAAAGACGTCACTTTCAGAAAGGTTCACGGATAACACTCAGAATCGGAAATCATTATTGAAGCTGAAAAACCGGGAAGCGAGGTAAGGGAAAAGAAAGGAAATGTATGTTATATGAGAGGATAGAGAATGTGTGTAAGGATGGGTTGCTAAGCAAGCGATCAGGCAGGACTGAAAATTGCATTGAAATTAAAAAACAGTTAAATTATTGTTTGCTAATAGAAAGTCTCTAGCATTTATTAAGAAAAATGACTAACCGGCCTCTGAGATCGAATCCAGACTTGGTGGATTACCATTATTGCTAGGCTGGACAGGAGTTTCATTCACGGACTGCGAAGCAACGTCATTTAGTAGACATGTTGAACTGTAAATCATTTCTTATCCATTTTCATATCTAAATTCTTTAACACGGCCAGACGTTCGTATAGCATCGCACTGTGCAAAATGTGCATATTGACTGAATCGTGTCGATTATCAATACACACGTTTCACACTGGGGCCTCGTGCAGAAATGAATTATATTCGAACAGTCCAGTAAATCATCTATTTTTGTTCTTGAATATTTCATTAAGGCGCACCTGCTAGGACTATTGACGACTTGCATGGGTAGGGTTTGGGACGTCCCAGCCGCCGAGGGTGACGTCCCGCCCATCGCTAAAGGGTGCCCCGGCTGTGAGGGTAGCGGGTAGTTCATAGACGGTCCCTGTAAGAAAACCAATTAGTTTTATTAGAAGTAGAACAGAGTAGAGAATTTATTGCACTAAAAGGTACACCATCAATCACTGGTTTTAGAAAAGCACTCAACGAATTGATGAATAAGAAGGAATCTCTCTTTGAAAAAAAAGACAGATCTCACTTGTGCTCTAAAATTTAGGATTAAAAAATTGAAGAATTTTTAAGAACTAGAGCTTATAGGAGACTCAATTTGTGCACAGCGCTGCTTGAGGTAGTGGTCGCAGAAAAGTAGCAGCTTGCCTTGACGTCTCATCGGTCAAAACTAACCTCGCAAATTCTGCTCGTATTAATACTACTTAATTATTTCAGCGATCTTTGTTTAAAGGCTTTTGATGAAACTTTTGCGTTGTATAAAAAACCTTAAAAAATAAGTGCTTGCTTTGCTTTCTTTCTGCTCAGCATCTTTTGTTGCGCACCTGTTCTCAAGTGATAGTGCTGATATTTCTACCGCCAAAACTCTGATAAATATCCGCAGGCGGTGCGACTACTACGCAGAAGTCTAGGAGAACTTGCGGTATGTCCATAGGTTACTGAAATCGCTGCAGGTGCTACAGCAGCTACAGCCGATGGCTTCAAGTCAGCGTCAAAGCTGCAACGCTACAGTACGCGCGCGAGTTTCGCGCCGAAGTGCAAACAAAGCGGTGCGAGAGATGCCATTTCGAAAACAATAAAACAAAGGCACGACGATGATGCTCAAGGATACGGTAGCTGGTTAGTCCGAGGACGATCAACGCGAAGAACCGAGTAGTGCAAAATACTTTTGTCGACGCGTGAATAAGAAATTACTTGGCTCTCTTGGAACATAATTCTTTCAGTTCATCTTACAACACAAAGAAAACATATTGGTATGGCATGCGTCAGAAATCACTCCTAAACAAGTTAAAAACTCTTTAGACCCAACTATTTAGAGCACTAGCAACGCTTTATATTTGATGTTAGGCCGTGCTTCAAAGCGGTCTTAAGATTGTCATTGAAAACAATGTCGTTCAGCTAGAGCATCACATTCACTGTTTGTAAAATAACATTAAGAATTGTTAAAGCTCGGCAAGTTCTACTCTGCTTACGGAAAGGCAATAAATCTTTGTCCTCTCATCCCATCACTGTAAACTCGTCATTGTTCAGAGATAGTTCATATTTATGCAGATTCATGCTGACAACCGTCACATCCTTGTCTTTCACTACTCCACAAATCCACAAACGCTTAAGTTACGTTAGATTTGGGAGTTTAAATTGCTTTTATCTCATCTAGGATAGGGATATTAATCACGTTGTGCCATATTGTTTCTTCAGCAGCTTCTATTAAATGTGTATATTATTTGAAGGTCTCTGGAGCTCCTTTCATTATCACGGAATTATCATCTAGCCGTCGTGTATAGAGGTTGACCGCACCGGATCGCTACTGTCAAGTAGCGCTTCGAGCCGCCGCTCTTTGAGGTCAGGGCAGCCTACAAAGCGAAAAAATTAGCATAGGATTAGCTGGTTTGACTGAGGCGCGATTCCTCCGCTGAAGAAAGATGATAGGCGTCGTAAGGATGAGTGCACAAATATGCATTAAGCGACTTTCGTTGCTCGTCGTCAGTATGTCGTCTCAAAATTATAGCGCGCACTTCGCGATTGCCAGCTTTCAACTGCCCTCATAGACCTTACCAGTTTTTCTAAAAATTGTTGTGGGATTCTTCTTCCGAAAACAAAAACAACAAGAAAATTTTTTTTGAAAACCATTCAAATACTAGAATGTTCCAAAAGAGATAATAAGAAGTGCTAACAGTGAGTGTACAACCACTACTGAAGAACTCTCAACGTCAATCTCATTATGCATGGCTTTAGTCTCGCAAATGCTTTTTAACGACTTTCTAACCTTTTTGAAAAGTAACTGGTCTGAATCACTAAATCAGTTCAAATTCTGAAACATTCTGTTCGACTGGTGATTGTCCATTATCAGGAAACCTTAAGTAATAGCTATCAGAGGGAATAACCTGCAATGACTTACAGAAATCACTAGGCTTCTTTAAATTATATGATTCCTATTGAACAATTACTTACTAATACGACAATGTTGAAGTGGCCTAAAAAAACATCAAGCTCAAAATAAGCATATTACATTACACGTGCTCTTCAAACGAAGTTGAACCAGTGTGAATGCTTTACATTTCTAATCGTTGTAATATCTAAGCTCCTTCATTAGACTTTCTATCAAAAATACAACAAGAAAATTAGAATTCTGACAATGATAACACTTTGATAATGCGTCCTAGTAATCGATCTACATGCGCGAGGATTGTTTCCTTTGATGCTTTAAAACATTGGAGGATCTGACAAGTTGTTAGCAATCCGTCAGCGTTTAGTATTTATGCGGTTATTGAGGAGAATTTTATTGCTCATAACTATTCGTAGCTAAGTAATAACTGTATGATGGTGGTAAGTATAAAATAGCGATCATATACTAGCCGACCCCTTAACGATCGGTGTATGACACCAGTTGGCGTTGGAACTACTCCTTAGTTTGAGGATAACGCAGCTCGTCAGGTGGTGCTTGGACTTGAAGGTGAAAGTGGCGGCGATGAATAGATTGATCAACCAAATCGATCTCAGTAGTATCCTACTGAAATTCTCCTCCCGGACGCATGCAACGTGCTTGTAAGCTTAAGGAAAGGAGCACTTGTGTAATGCGTGTGAAAAACTCTCGACCAAAATTAGTTCTATTTTGACCTTTTTCCTTGAATTAGTGCATGAAAAGGTCAGCCCAAGCACTTTTCATCTTTAGAAATCGAGTTGTTTCGGGAGCTGAACAAGAGAATGAATACTGAAAAATGTGAAGGGTTTCGATAGATATCAGCCAGATTATAATAGAGCTAGCAGAATTTTTACTTGCCAACGATGACTGCTGCTGATGTTGTCATGTGCATGCAAATGAAATAGGGCTTCTGGACTGTGATACCCTCGCCGGAAGATCAGCAACACCACGTTGAAACCTTGCAGTCCCATCGAATTCGGCAAAATCACAAGACACCTCAGTCGCTTATAAATCAGTCACAGCACTCACTCATATGTCAGGCGCGCACGTCAGACAACAGATGTTTTCATTTTCAAATTCAGCCTGTATTGATCGTTCGAGATACGGTAGCACGAAGATGATGCCATCGTTTTGCACTCACCTCCATCGAGTTCGTCATCGCTCGGTTGTTCTCCGGTAGTGGAACAGTCTGCGGCTCATACGGTGGTTGAAAGTGACTGAAACGTAAGAACGAGAAATGCGCTTAATATTCCATTACATTAAGACAGCACGAAGAGTGAAGCAATTGCCTGGCATTCATAAAATCTAATGCTTTGTCAAGACGAACTTTTTATTTATTCGTAAAAAATAACGCAGTTCTTTCTAGTGTCTAACGTATTTTATTAGAGTTTCGCAAACTCGATTTCTTAACCTGAGACTAACCTCATCGGTGTGCCCATGCTGGGACTAGCCGATTGCGCAGTGGATCCGGGAGACATCGGTGGCTGAGACGAGGAAGCTCGTTCGTCGCCAACGATATCCATCGGCATCTTTCCTTTCAGACACGTCACGTAACGGTTACAGAAATTATCGCATAGCTCGTGAACCTAGACATAATTCTTTTTACGGTGAGTGGTTTTAATTCTTTTCAACCAACTAGGAGACACTGTAAAGTAATACTACCGTGATAATGTACAAAAACCTAACTCGAATTCTGTAGCTAATATTGGATAAAACCTGTGCGGTAGACAGCAAAAGGCTATTTATAGAAAACTATACGATGGACAACGGAGGTTATATTTCCCGAAACTTGAAAGAGTTCATTACATAACTACTTATTGTCGGAGGATCACCATTGCACTTTATTTCTGCTTTCTGCTAGTTTCGCGTAGCTTTAGAATCACTTCACATCTAGTGTGGGCTTCTTCTATTTCCCAGAGGCACTTTTATCTCAGTGTTTCAGCGCATTAGATGCATTAGACCACATTAAAAAAGATATTAAGAATTGGCATGCTATTTCCAGAGAAATAAATGTAGGAAAATACAATGCATACGCAATTTTACGGATAACTTGTGCATTTAGATTTTATCGTAGACTATTCAAGTATCTATAGAGTGAAGTTTAACTTTGCTTCAAATGAGTGAATTCGCCGGGTGAAGAAGTTTCCTTCCTCTTCACTCAACAACCTTCATTCATTATAAACCACATTTGCAAAACACACATACACACATACGCACACACATATACCATACACATGCACATAGACATATACACAGACAAAGGAAAATGAAGATGAGACAAGAAAGGTCATCACTAGTTATTCTTTGATAGTTTGGAAATTCACATTCGTACTCGATACCACGACTGTTATCTAGTCTGGAAGAGATGACAGGCACATCCATTAGAAAAGTTGTAATTTATCACAATTTATCACAATGATTCCGCTACCAGATCATAAGAGACTGTCAGCGGTCTCTGAAGATAAAGACTAATCCGCGTGTCGCTCGTCAGTCAAGTCACTCGTTCCATCAAAAGTTCTACGTGCGTTACGCGCGTCCCAACCGCCGCTGATCGATAGACCATCACAACGAAACCATTATAGTGGCAAAGTGTTACGTGGTCAGATATAATTTATTTACCGATCTAACAGTCCTACGACAAAGCCGACGACTCATGTTATCGATTGGGGGCACGAGAATTTGATGACTAGCCACCGAGAGCGCGTAGTGTCGAGATGTTCGTGTGTTTACGCTATTAAAGTGACAAATTGCTATGTTTCTGTCCATTATTCATGCATCGATGTAAAATCGAATGAAAGCTGCTCGTGTATCGATTGGCCGGACTAGAGGAATGGAATTTGCAACATGGCGAGAAAATCAATGAGTAGTTCCCGAGCGTTGTTGGCGGTCGTGAGCGTTCTGAGGCAGTATTTCGTCCGTGGCGTCCCGCAGCGAGCCGCGCGGTGTGCGTAAGAAAAATCACATGAAATAAAAACGAGGAAATGTGTCTTCATTGAATGGAGAGGTGGTCACGAAAATCGTAGAAAAGGAACGCCGTTCCGTCGCACTGCTCAATACCGGCGGAAAAAAAAGCCGTGTTAGAAAAGAATGATAAGAGTGAAAAGATAAGGCCTTGTTTAAAGGCAAAATGTTAATGAAACCACATCTGCTGTCCTGTCTACGTGCAACTTTGCTAGAAACCCCAGCCCAATAAGATGAGGTCTCAGAAGTGCTTGAATGTCAGAGGATAACTTGTTAAGCGTAGCATATGAGGCAATAGACGTAAGGATAAGAACGATAGAACAAGACGTAACCGAACGTAAATCACCAAACATTTGTTTGTCGACTTGTAAAACTTGGCTGGAACGGTTTTAAAACTAATCTTGAACTTTGACGGCAAATCTTTTAGAACTTTAAAATGCAATGCAGCCACGGAGGAAGCCAGAAGAAGACTTAATGGGCCAACGTAAATGATCAGTCGATGAGGCTTAGATCTTCTAATTTCAAATCTCACGCTGCCGTTGGCACAACGAGCAGCGGTCCTTTCATTGGCTGAGTTTTCAGAATAGACAATGTGGTTTTAGTAAAGCAGAAAGAGATATGTCTGTCACTGAGAAAAACCAACCTTTTCCAACTCCAACAAATGAAAACGAAGCATTTGAATCGATTGTAACATAAGATTGTCCAGCTCGCGATTCGGAACATAAAACGTGTTTTCCATTTTCACCTAGAACTGTTTTATATCATAATAATACACCAAAAAAGGCAGACCGCAACAGAATGGCATCCGACGAAAGGCTTAGCAATAGTGTTGATGCTTTCTTTTTTAGTAGTGTGTACGAATAAAATCTTCAAAAAAGAAACTAAACGTTCGAAGCTTCAAATTAATATTACGTAAAGCATCAGGATACCAACGACCAAGGATTTTAGAAGGTCCTAGGTAGCATCTGGGTACCAATGATCCAGGATTTTAGAAGGTTTAGATCTAGTTCTCATTCTGATATAACCTGTATTCTTTTTAAACAAATTTTTAGCAAAAAAGAAAAAAGTGCTAAATATTGTTTTTTAATTTTTTCAATAAGAATAAATATGACAACTTTTTGGGTCATTTTTCCTTATCTGCTGCCATTTTTCGGATTTGATAAGGCTTTATGGTTGTAGTCATATTGGCTATAGTTGGTAGAGAACTATAAAAAAAAAGTTTCACCGTTTTTGCGAACTCAGCAAGGTCTTCCTTGAAAGAATTGGAAGAACAAACGTCATTACTAGACGTGCCATCACGATTCTGATCTCGAGGAGTTGATGTGGCCAGTTCGCATTTTTCGAACAACACAGTAAGCAACGGAAAAAGTGGGTGCCTGCAAGAAAACTGGAGGAATACCTCGAAAACTTTTGAGAAAGTGCACAAGTTCTCTTAAAAAATCAGTCACTCGAGAATTACTCATAAGCAGAAGAACCGGTAACAGTCGCTATTTGCAGGTCACTAGAAATACTCACGAATGGATGGCAGCCTTGTCGCGTTTCACTTGCTCGTCGAGATGTGGATGCATCATTTGGTCACTAGTGGACATCGGTCCTCCAAGCGGATACATATTGTTGTAGAATGGCGCCATGTTGCCCGACGGATCTGCCGGTACCGGATACGAGACGTCACCTGGTGGAGCTGGTGGTCCGTAGCCATCGCCATACTGAACATAACGCTCTTAGCTTCCAAAAATAACATTGAAAGTTTCTCCCTAATAAATACAGTTTTGTAGTTATTATCTACTGCCTAACTCGTCGATCTCGTCACTAAGGACGGATGGAGATTTACAGCCTTAACGAGACGAGCTGGAACGCCATCAAGCGACCAGCGACGCGAAACTTTTTGCCATGATTTCTTCTCAGATAAAATTCGTTTCGAACGGGTCGAGCGCCTACCAGCGAAGCTTTCGTTAACCAAAACCATCGTATTAAACAAAATTCAAAATCTCGAAAAGGAAATTTTTTCAGCGCTACTCATTTAAGCCGTCATACAACGAACAAATAGCATAAAATTAGCGGAGAGGTGGAAAGTATGAGAGAAATGTCTTGTGTAGTAAGAAAGCAGCAAGCACTGCGGCCATAAAACCCGCATCAAAGTTATAGCCTATTGAGCTGTCTTCTCTGACACGTGGCTTAAAATATAGTGAATGAATGGCGCAGCGCGGTGAAACAACACTAAAACTTATGAACTCGAAGCGATTAGGCGAGGAGAACATTGCTCAGCGGGCATGAAAAATAACTGCATACTATGATAATTTTTCAAAGTGGCAACTAGCAGGAATAAATGAAAGGAAATTAGGAATTATTTAGTAGTACCCTGTGGGCCATGCCTGATGGGCACACACAAACCACGACGACGACGAGAAGTACGACGGCTGGGCGGGGACTGAACGAACTTGTCGAAGTGACGACGAAGGACGGTTGACAGATGACGATAGATGGAAAGTTAGAAGACGGATGGAGTGCGTAAGCCTCTCTTGCGTTACGTTCTTTGCGTTTCTTACTGGCGGCTGCACACAGATGAATATGAGGGGTGACAGCTCTCTGACGATGTTTCCGCGAGCGCTTCGCAACAGCCGCACAGGCAACGCGCGAGAGGGTCGCAGCACCTGACTCCGCCTCGTGCGACGGCCACCTGGCCAATCGTGGCCAGGCGCCACGCCCATCACCGGCACCGGCCCCATACGGTACTGGTGGGCGCATTGATTTGAGCTGAGGGCCGTCTCAATGCGATTCTAGAAGCACATCTACACAGCATGCTAGCTGTCGATGACAAAGTCTGAGTGCCAATACATCCAAGCAATATTCGGATTGTCATCGATCAATTACGGATGAATGCTGATTAGTGAATAAGCACGAGAGATATAGTGATACGACGTCGCGTCGCGCCATGCCAAACTAGTTTAGGAACGCCGGGCAATAAAATGTGATAGATTATAGAGTTATCCGAGCGCTCGCTGAAAAATGGCTCCCAGCTTGGTGTCAAACCAAGGCGTGGTAGATCTAAGCAACACCTTACCGCTGTGTTAGGGTTTTAGTCCATTGCAAAAGTAAATTGCTGCTTACTTCAATCGAATCGGCTTTCTCTAGTTTGACGATGCTCGAAGAGCCGTCATCTATCGTGTGAGCTTGTGCCGTCACTGGAAATGCTCCAGGTGCTAGTGGCGCATGAAACTGCCACATATCCATGGCGCTTGGCCATAGTTGTGGCTCGGACATTCTAAAGATTAATTGGCTTGAATTTTTCGAAAATACAGACACGATACAATGAACACGATCAATGAACGCTTAGGTGAACAGTCATGTCATCATCAATCATTTGTGAGAAGAATCTTCTAAAGCAAATGCAACAACTTGTGATCGTCTGTCAGTGCCCTGATAGATTACCACCGATTAAGATCGCTATCGACTAAATTCTTGTCGAAGGATATGTTTGCCTTCAGTCAAGATTATAATATCTCTATAACCAACGCTCAAAGAGAAATCTTTTTAGTGAAGGGTAGTTGCTCGAGATTTTCTCTTATGGAGAACACTGAATAAATAAGTAAATAGCAAAATACGACGGCATCTCATGCATTCATTGCATCAAGTGCTCGTGCAGCGTCAATGAATTCCACTTAGATTAATGCCAGCGGACAAGAGGTCAGCACTAGACGTTATTGCTTAATGCTCTGCTAATCACTAAATTACAGGGTTCGTTTCAGATGTTAAGGAATTGGAATATATTTAGACTCTTTGTGAGCTAGGTGCTTTCAGAAGAACAATGAGGTTTTAATCCGTCTAAACCTTTAAAGTGTGTGCTTATTCTTGTTTGGGAAATTCACTGGTACGATTCAGCAAGTGAAATCCTTAGGCAAAACAATTTCCAGTTTAGCACTTGTTTTCGGAGCGATATTGTGCGAAATGCGCACAATTGGAGTGAGTGTCAGTGGTTACCACAATCGACCACACTGTTACCAGATGATATTTGGATGTTTCGAGTTTGTAGATATCAAAAATTGGAAAGAATTTAGAAGAAAAAGCACATCACGACCAAGTACCGTAATCACAAAAAGCCGCATGGTTCCTAAGCGAAACAAGCACTCAACTCTACTATTCATGTCTGTGAAGTCCTTCAACGCTAAACATTGTAAAAGCCTGATCTTTTGTTACGAGTGTGTTGGTTTGAGTCCATTTTTGGTTTCGACGGTATAAGGTAGACCGGTGAGGAATCGATCACAATTTTCCGACAACGTCGTCTTTCTACACGGGACACGGGACGATGATTGATGCGGTACATGAACGCACAGGTGCCGTTTCTAAGCATAGGGTAGCGTTAACGAGCTTATGACCACCAGTGAAGCACTGCCGAATCCGCGATTGCAGCAGCTAAGTATAGAATTAGCATAATGGTTAAAAAATTTGCCAGCGAACGTACACCAATAAGTTTGAGTTCAAATGAGACCATAAGATATGGAAGTTCTTCGTTGATTATGGTGATACGTGAGCGGTAAGGTTTTGTGCAGTCCGACAAAAAAAAACTCTTGTTGACAAATAAAATAAAAATTAGAATAAAATTTGGACTACATTGAACTTAGCCATTAGTGGTCCATTAGCAAACAGAATTTAGTCAAGATAGGTGGACGTCGCATAGAAAGGTGAGGAAAGAGGGAAGGATTGCTGAATTTTTACAAATATGTTACAACAGTTCGAGAAAATGTTAAGATTCCGAAATTCTTAACAACTCTTTTAGGCTTCGCTTACCAATTATATTGTCAAACTGCACAATCCCGCCCCGTTGCCAATCGCCAGCACTAACAGATTTTCCGGGTAGAAAGTATATTTTTATCGAAGCAAAACTCAATGGAGAAAGTACACGAGTTTTCGAGTATTAAGACTACACCATATGCATGTTAATATAGCGGTTGAGTTAGAAAACTCGTTATAAATGACAGTAGTTTGCCAAGATTTCATGAAAACAATAAAATGAAGCGACCGCGTGCGCACGATCATCTATGAAATTGAGTAAGTCATGGTTTTCTGGTCATGAATGAGATAAGACAAGAACTTTTCCTTAGCTTTATTACAGCTCAAAACATAATGAACTAAGAGGTTTATGCTAATTATTAGCAGACTTTCCACAAAAACTAGGTACGCTAGAAACGTTTGGTAGTCTCCCAATACACTTGTGAGACTGCAAACTGTCGAACCTTTTATCACAGGAACAGAATGTCATGAAGATAACGGTCAATATGAAATGAACAGAAATGAATTACATCGGATCATAATTTAGCCGCTGATTTAAAAGCTATCCTTGGAGGTCTTCAGTTATCCATAAGCTACCACTTCGTTTTCAAGCAAAAATGAAAATGCAAAGATAATCCGGAAAACTGAAAATTTTTAGGTGAATTTTTCTGCAGATAAAATAGCAAAATATGTGAATATAGACGGTAGAATCAGAATCAGAATGGAAGAGAGCATCCTCTCTAGTAAGCCTATAAAAGCAAATCTTCAAGCGAACTCCATCACGGCTAATAAAAGAATTAAACACTTAGAGCCATCGATAATCGCGGATCCCTGGACATTCTAGCCTTATTGGGCCACCACAGAGGTGGCTTCCCTTCCAGTAAAGATGCTAATGAAAAACTCAAACAATCAGCACCACATCGAGAGCCAAACGTTTAGAAGTGGAGCTGTGCCGCCGTACAAATAATGTGATAGGTGAAACTGATACAGGTGGATAAGTCTATTAGTGTTACGAGAGTGACGGCGTATATTTTGCGTCGTTTGTCGCCCGGGAAAGGTGCGTTTCATCTCGCCGACGGCCGTGGGGTCAACAATTAACCCTATAATTGGTGGGAAGTTGGAGATTTCGCTAGTGCCGAGCTGAGAGCGAATAATTGATGGCGCTATCAGCAAGATCAGCTCGGATTAGATCCATAAAGACGACGAGAACCGTGTAGTCTCTATACTGTCGTCAGAAAAACAGAAAACGATGGGCACATTGACGAATTTGCACATTTATCAACAAAACGATCTAAAGAAAAGATTTATTCGCCGGGGAAAATCACAACCGGCACATAGTTAGGATGTAGTTAAATGTTCTTCATTAATTCTGTATGCCACCACTTCATTATACCTTCAGTGATGGATTGTAGGTGAACGTTCTAGAAGAGATCGCTGTTGGAGATTATTGAAAATAAAGATGACGACGGAAAAAAATTCTTTTGCCGTCTAGAATAGAAATTTACGAAAGACAATTGACCAAGTTCTGTGAAAAAAAGGACCAATAAAAAATCTAACAAACAAATAAACTGCTCCTATCACATTTTGTGAATA